CACTTTCCATCCTTGGTTAACGGGGTTCTCTCCAGTGATTGTTCTATTGATTATTTAGGAAGTTTTTGTATTTTAGTTGTAATTCCAGTTTGGTCCTAGGAGCGTGTCTGTGTAGCATCCACTTACTCTACCGCCTTTTTTAATCTCTTAGTATAGATATTTTAATGATGTTGATTCTACCAATCCATGAGCATAGTATATTCTTCCACTTGATTATATCATCCTCTATCTCTTTTTTCAAAGAATTGTAGTTTTCGAGTACAAGTCTTCTCCTTAGTTAAGTTTATTCCTAAGTATCTTAATTTTTATTTCAGTGGTAACTGGGATTGTTTGTTTAGTTTCTCTTTCTGATAATTCATTATCCTATCTAATAAAGACAGAATATGCAAATGACCATCACTCTGTGGCAAAGATGGTGGCGCCCACAGCCAATAAGGAGGGAATATGCAAATTGAAGTGACAAAGATAGCAGTGGTTGGGCCCTGCCCCAGCCGCTCCAGGCCTCTGGGCAGCTTGTGTGTGCAGGCACAGAATAGCCGGGGCGGGACGGGATGCCTGCTATGGGAGGGTGCGGGGGGTGGCGGGAGCTACAGGAGGGCAGCAGGGCCGGAGCGAAGGCACACTCCGCAGGAGCAAAGGCAGAAAGCAGCTCCGGCCAGAGTGAAGGTGGAAGGCAGCTCCAGCTGGAGCGAAGGTGGAAGGTGGCAGCCAGAGCAAAGACCTGGGTCCCAGGTGATGGAGGGAAGCCATTGCCGGCAGCCAGGAGAAGGAAGGCCTATTTTTGCATGAATCTTTGTGCATCGGGCCTCTAGTTGGTGTATAAAAAAGCCATTGATTTGGGGGTGTTGATTTTGTATCCTGCTACATTGACAAATTCAATTATTAAAATCTAGTAGTTGATTGGTAGAGTCTTCAGGTTTTTCTATGTAAAATACCATGTTGCCTGCAAATAATGAGAGTTTTACTTCCTCCTTTCTAATTTGGATGTCTTTTATTTCTTCTTCTGGTCTGATCGCTGTGGCTAGGACTTCCAGTGCTGTGCTGAATAAGGGAAGAACACCCTACATTTACATAGAACTTAGATTTCCAGCACCTGGACTTGCTGTGTGGTCTCTTGTGAACTACCCAATCTTTCTACCCATTCTTATCCAGTCTGTAAGTTCAGAGACTTGTTCTTTCTTTTTTATTTTAATTTGAAAGTGAGAGGGAGAGAGAAACATCAATTTGTTGTTCCACTTATGTATATATTCATTGGTTGATTCTTGTATGTGTCCTGACTGGGGATCAAACCCTCAACCTTGGGTATTGGGATGAGGGTCTAACTAACTGAGTTACCTGGCCAGGGCAACACCCTGCTTTTTTGTTTTTGTTTTGTTTTTTTGTTGTTTGTTGAGAGAGAGAGAGAGAGAGAGAGAGAGAGAGAAGGGAGAGAGAGAAACATCAATGCGAGAGCTAAACACCAATTGGCTGCCTCCTACAGCATCCAACTGGGGATCAAGCCCTCAACCCCTTGGTGCAGGTGCCTTGCTATTTTAATGGCTGTTAAAAATCATTTTCAAAACAAAATATAATCCATCAACAAACTCCCAGACTAGGAACTATTATGTAGACTCATATGGTGTCATCCATTGCACTGATTCCCAAAACAGACACTGGGTCCTAACACAGGGGAGGCCAGCAGTGGCCCCTGGATTATACAGAAAAGTTCTCCAGCTCCTGGTGTTGAGTCAAGCAGCGTGTTAAGCTCTGGGTTGTATCTTTCCAACCTGCAGAAGAAACAAAGTTCAGACACTCCTACTAGGAGATCCCCATAACAACTCTGTGGGGTATGAATTGTTAACCCCATTTTACAGATTAAGAAAATGAAGCTCAGAATGACTGACTGAAGTACAGGAGGGGCTTGAATCCAATTCTTTTGGTGCCAGGTCTAGTGTTTTTAACCACACCATGCTTCCTCCTGACTCCCCCTAGATTGCCTGGTGCCAGAAGCCAATCCACCTTGCTGCTTGACACAGTCACTGCAGGGAAGAAACATCTGCACAGCTTATGTTTCAAGGGACCTGGCGTATATGGCATATGTTTGCTCCCCCTCTTAACGCTATGTGTTTTAAACAGGACCACCTCCCCGAGAAAGGTTGTTTCCCCAGGTGGGGATTTTTCCCTTGAGTTAGGGAGGGAATAAAACCCCTTAACTAAGTGCCAGGCGGGTAATTAATCACTTTAACTACGAACAATCACGCTTAAGCTACATAATCTTTACTTAGGATAATCTCCTTCAGTTACTTCCTTGTAGCTTAATAGAACAATAGAGTAACCTTGGAATGGAGATAAGAAATGCCCTAACCTTTAGAATAGAATGGATAGGATTAAAATCAACTGGTATAAATACAGATGTAACAGGACGATAAACACAGAACTGCAGTCGGCCTGGTGGTCAAATCCCTCTAGTGTTAACTACAACAATTAAGGCTTGGCTAGAACAAGACTGCGCACAGAGACCACAAGGGGGTGCACCAAGAAAGCATAAAAGATGCGGAGACAAAAAAACATGACAGAAATGGAGGATATGGAGCTAAGAATCGCAATTTTGAGGGCTTGCCATAAATTTGTGCAGAGCCTCACGAAAACTAATGAGACCCTCGATGCTACGATAAAGAAATTAGAAAGTAAGCATACACGGACTGAAATAAAGACTATTATACCCAATAGCAGACCAGAGGAGCACAAGAATCAAACCAAAGATTCGACAAAAAACACCCAATTGGAAAAGCAAAATGAAAAAAGAATCCGAAAGTGTGAAGATAGTGTAAGGAGCCTCTGGGACAGCTTTAAGCGGACTAATATCAGAGTCATTGGAGTGCCAGAAGATGAGAGACAGCAAGATATTGAAAACCTATTTCAAGAAATAATGGCAGAAAACTTCCCCCACCTGGAGAAAGAAATGGACTTACAGGTCCAAGAAGCGCAGAGAACCCCAAACAAAAGGAATCCAAAGAGGACCACACCAAGACACATCATCATTAAAATGCCAAGAGCAAAAGACAAAGAGAAAATCTTAAAAGCAGCAAGAGAAAGAGGCTCAATTACCTACAAGGGAATACCCATACGACTGTCAGCTGATTTCTCAACAGAAACTTTGCAGGCCAGAAGGGAATGGCAAGAAATATTCAAAGTGCTGAATACCAAGAACCTACAACCTAGATTACTTTACCCAGCAAAGCTATCATTCAGAATTGAAGGTCAGATAAAGAGCTTCACAGATAAGGAAAAACTAAAGGATCGCACACTAGTGTGTGTAGTTTAAGTCCTCTAGGTCTTAGAAGAGCGAGAGAGTAGACGAAGATAGACTACTATGACACTCTGCTCTCCAGTGCTCTTCACAATGATCTAGATCAGTGATAATACCTGATGTACAGATGACTGTGACTA